TGTAGTACTGCAGTAGCACTGGGTAGTACTGCAGTAGTACCTGAGAGAAGGCGATGCCAAACGTGACTCCAGCGATGATCCCCATGTTGCTCTCTATGAAGGACGTCACCAGTTCATAGCAGCCCTGCAGACACAAGCATTGATTGATCGACTCATTCATTCATTCATTGATGTGCTCTGACTGCAGCCCGTTTAGAGCCCAGTGACGTCTCCAGAACCAGCTGCTCTATGACTGAAACATTTTTATTCCTGCACAGCAGCAGCTCTTGTAAACTTGTCGTTTCACATATTTCTGAAGGCTAACTGGCTAACTCTGGGCGCTGCATGTGTCTGATGTGACTCAGTGCAGCAGCAGCAGGGGGCGCTCATGGAACATCTGACTTTCTACCAACAAATGCTGCAAATGTCTGACTTTCACCATCGTCTCCCTGAACTCGACCAGCTTTGGAATATGAGAATAAAACACGATGTTTACAAAAACAAAGTTTACCAAAGTCGCTCAGACTCCATCTTCAGACGAGGAAACCTTCGACCAACAACTCAGCAGCTAATCGGAGCTTCAGGGGAATTTCTGACCTGTTTGTGGACTTTGCGTGCAGCCACAGTTGCGTTCTTCAGGTCGGTTCCGCTGCAGTCGGAGAAGCTCACGCAGCAGCTGGCAGGAATCCCGGCCACGGGGAAGTAGAGGCTGCTGAGCCAGCTGGTGTAGTTGGAGACGCCACAGCAGCGCAGCTACACAGGAAACACATCATGAGAGCTGCTCTGGATTCATGAGCACGTCGTCAGAGCCAGAATGAACGTAGTCTGTCTTTTCCAGATGTTCTGTAGAACTTAAAGCTCAGGTTGGTTGTATTTCTTTTAACCAATCACAGTCGTCGTGGGCGGGGCTAAGTGCAGCTGACCCTTAGCAGGTGACATCAGGCTGCCTGGAACATAAACCTGCACTTCATTGGATGTTAGACGCTGTTGACCTGTTAAACATCAGTACTGTCTGAAGAAAAACACATCAAGGTTTGTTTACAGCCTGTTTTCTCATTTACGTTCCAGCTAGTTCCAACATCTGCGCTAGATTTTTAGTCATTTTTTATTTCTTTGAGGATGCCGGATGGTTGACTGTCAACAGATGATAGTTCTGATGGTTTATGCAAAAACAAGAAATCATGTTACTTATTATGAACCAAAACTATGAAGGACTAAGAAGAGAGCCCTGAGGAAGCCCAGTAGTAGTAACCGAGGACATCAGAGGGATAAACCTGTGAGACACCAGTTTTATAGGAAAATACGCCAAGTCCCTGAGAAATAAAATGTTGTTCAGGAGTAAATGATCAAAGAGGGGAAACTTCTCACTCTGCGCTGGACGCCGTCGACAGCCAGACTTCGGTCGTCTCGTCCGTCGTATCTCATCACTGCGTCGCTGAACGTGGTCAGAAACGTTCCTTTAATCTGAACAAACAGAGAACTGTCTGGACCAACTGTTGTGTTCAAGTGTTGCAAAACTCTGAAATGTGTTTCTGACCTCGTGACGAAAGACGAATCCAGAGATTCCAGCGATGAGTTCAGTCAAGAAGACCAGCGACAGAAAGACGGCGTACTGAGGAGAAGTCAGCAGGAAGCCCAATGATGTCATTTCCTTTACTAGCATTTATACAAATCTGCTTCACAGTGACAGCATGAATAGAAGCGTTTGTTTGGAGCTTCATGGTGAAGAAGAGCAGAGCTGGAAGGAAAAGTCTTGGTTCCAACCTTCATCTGTGGCCAGCAGACCTGATCAGAGACTCTGAGACAGAAGCTTCAGAAGTTTGTTCTGACGGCTTCATGTCCACACGAGAGTTTTAATCCACTAAAGAACTCGACGTCTGTCTGAGAAGCTCTTTGGCTGAGGTTCTAGAAAGCTGCTGGTTCTATCTGAGTCATTGAGGACGTTTAGCGGATTAAAACCAGCCAACACCGATCCGGGACCAGAACCAAGACTCTAAACAAAGGATCAGTGCAGAAGAATCAGCAGCGTCTTCAGACTGACAGATGACAGAACCTGCTGCCACTTTTCCTTCAAACTGTATTTTCTGTTGCAGGTTTGTCAGGATTAAATGTAAGAAGAGCAGAGCTGAACACATTCATGAGGGTTTAGGGTTTAGGG